TTGAACACCATCGGCATTGACAAAATCACCATCAGTCAATTGCAAAAGGCAGCTTTACTTGGAACAGCTTATATCCTGCAGTTATACCTTTAATACCACTAAACAACATCTGCCTATCCCAGGTCCTTGGGAAAGACTCGATAGGTGGATAAAAATGCCAAATCCAGTCTAAACATCTGGCTGACTGTAAGACCAACAATAATAAATTACAGTAGCCCCCCATCAAGTCCTCCTGTGCTATTTCATCATGGTGGCAGGGCTGTTCCTGCAAGGATGAGTAAAGAACACCAGAAGTGTACTCTGAGTAGGGTCACCCAAGATGTGAAGGTCATTCCAGCTGCCCAGCTAAAGCAAGCATCCTATATTGGGCAGCAGTGATACAAGAAGAGGCTGATGGCAGATGATCATTTTAGTGACAATGGCAAAGTTGTCATTTCATATTGCACAGGAGAAGCAATGTAAACTGCTCCTGTATTTTTACCAAGAAAACCACAAGGATAGAAAATATTAAATGATTGCCGATATAGTGGCAGATGATGGCCCCCTCAGGTCAGATGGCATTAAAGCTGAGGAAGAACTGACGATCTTTCAGAGTACTAATGATGTTTACGATGTGGCTAAATTAAAGACTTCAGGACATCTAGTTGCTAATGTTGCCATGCAGGAGAAAAAATACAAAGTGCAGAGAGAGAATGGCAATGGGAACATGACATGTAAGAAGTGTGAACATGGGAAAGTTCAACACAGTCAAAGAGAAAATGAATCAGCTATACATTGATGTTTTGAAATGCATTGGAAGTGGACATTTTCAGTTAGAGTATCATACTATTTACTACTCAGGACACAAAAAAGGAACATTGTTGGTTTCATAGTAAGGAAGAATGTAGCAAAGACAGTACTTGAGTACAATGCAGTCAATGAATGAATAATATCAATTCAACTTTGCAGATAACCCTTTAATATGGCAATAATTCAAATTTGTGCTCCAATAACTGATGCAGAAAAAGAGGAGGTTGACAAGTTTTATGGTCAAGTTCAATCTGAAATTGACAGAACTAGCAAGCAAGATGTGAGACAAATTCTTAACAAAGAACTTCAGAGAGCTGTTAGAAGAGACAAGAAGCAGTATTACGACATCTGTAAAGACACTGAAGATGGAAACAGACATGGAAAAACAAGGAGAGTCTTCCAAAAGATTTCCAATCTCAGAAGGAGGTTCCAACCTGGAACTGGTATGCTAAAGGATGCCAGTGATCGGGTAGTAACTAATTCAATGAAGATCAAACAAAGGAAGGGATATACTGTAAAAATGTCAACATTCAAGATACCTTAGAATATACTCTGGCCAATGCCAAGTTGGAAAGTTACAGGAATTAATTAAATATCTATGGCAAGTAACAGAAAAAAATCAGTAAAATTTCTTCTAACCAAACTCTGCCAGCAAATCTGGAGAACAACACAGTGGTCAGTAGATTGGAAGATGTCAATCTATGTACTAACACCACAGAAAAGAGACTTAATAGAGTGTGCAAACTATTGTATAATATCCTTAATTTTTATATGCTACTAAAATAATGCTTAAGGTCATCCAATGCAGATTAGAGCTCTGCAAGGAAAGGGATATGCCAGATGTTCAAGATGGTTTTAGAAAAGGCCAAGGAACAAGATACATCTATGCTGATGCACACTGGATAACCGAGCCAAAAAATAGCCCCTAAAAGTCAATATGTGCTTCATTGATTATAGAAAGATTGTGTTGATTGTGTCAAGCTGTGGAATGTCTTTAGGAAAATGAGAATCCTAGAACATTTAATTGTCCTCATGTGAAACTTATAGACAGAACAGGAAGCCACAGTCTGGATGGAACATGGAGAATTAGACTGGCTTCAAGTCAGCAAAGAAGTGAGACAAGGCTGTATACTCTCTCCTTATTTATTCCATTTATATGCTGAATATTTATTGAGGGAGGCTGGACTGGAAGAAGATAAGCATTGTTTTAAAATTGGAGGAAGAAACATTAGTAACATGCACTATGCTGATGACACTACTCTGATAGCTGAAAATGGAAATGATCTCCAAGCTCTGCAAGTGAAAGTCAAGGAACACAATGAAAACATGGGACTAAGATTAAATATAAAGAATACTAAATTAATGACAACAGGTATAGCACCTAGCCTTAGAGTTGTTGATGAAGATACTGAAGTGGTGGATAGCTTCTGCCTTTTAGAATAGACTATCAACCATAAAGAAGAAGCCGTAAATAAATAGCCCACAGACTAGCATTTGGTAGAGTGGCAATGAAAGCCTTGGAAAAGTTATTC